AAGCTAACCATGTCACCAAATTGTCTTCCCCTGTCGCGAACACACTCCGCCTATACGGCGCGATGGCTTGGACGTCTCGGCCACTGTGCGGCGCTGGAGTTCGTGTATTTGCCTCTCGGTTGGCACCTGGTGCTTCTCCGCCGAAGACTTTCTCTGCCGTCTCCCAGCCGTTTTGCCTGTCTGAAGAATAGATACTGCCCCGTGAATCAGTTTTTTTTTAGCCCGTGTGCACCACACGAGCAGCAATTTTCCATGTTGATGCGATATTTGCGCTTGGGTCCAGCATCCTACTGGAGTGGCGAAATCTACGGACTCCGCACCACCAGCAATGCTGGGCGGCAGGGTGAGCACAGGGTGGAGCAAAGCTCGAGCTGCAATCACGGAGCTGTACTTTAGTTTACACTTGGATGGATACCAGTTGCGACGTGAGAAATGTTAAAAGGCAAAAAAAAAACTCAAACCAATTGAGGCCGGAACTTCCGCCATACATGTAAGTTGCTCCAGTAGCAGGAAAAAAAAATATACTTCGCGAAACGCGCAGTTCCACAGCCATCTGGTCCATGGAAGGTGAGTGGAGATTCTCCACTGGAGATCGCTTCGGTATACACCTCTGTATACAGTGTGATATTGTTGCGGTAGTTGAAGTGGAGATTCACCTTTTGTCAACAGATCCACATCATTGTAGCTCGTGAGACCTCAAATTATCACGCGCTGTCATACTGAAAAGAGCGCACATAGGCAAAATGCCGCCGGCGAAGTTATGCCGGCGGGTTTCTTCACCACCAGCCAACGCACAAAGTGAAATTGGAGCAAAACAAGTTATCGGATACCGTAACTTTTTCAATCCGCCAAACCGAGATTCCGAAACGCACCGTGCGTTTTTTTCGATGGTGCGCTTCTAGCCTTCTGCTATTCTCGTTTAGACCGCTATTATAATACGATTGTAGCACACTCAATGGCTGTTGCCTCGTTTCGATGGGAACGCAGAGCACGTCACATAAGAATATTTCAATGGAGCGGAAGTGAAAAGGCAAATAAATACGTTTATTAGGTTAGGTGCGTTGGTTGCGCTTCGAGCTCAAGCTCGGTAATGGTGGTCTCGTCGCACTGATCCGCGATGATCCTCACCAGGATCGTGTCGTTCGTGATATTCACGATGGCTCGCATGCGGTTCAGCAGCCAGTCGGCGCCCACCAGCAGCGAAAACACGGGCGGGACGTCCATGTTGAAGGCTGTGTGCCAGACTGTGATGGCCATGACCAAACCAGAGTGAGGCACGGGAGCCACACCGAACGATGCGATCGCACCCACAAGCACCAGCAAAACGTAGCGTAAGGGCGTCAACAGATCTCCATAACCGCCCACTTTAGCCATGAAGACGCAGGCCAGCGTCATGTAGCAAGCGCTTCCATTCAGGTTACTCGTAGCTCCAAGAGGCAATAGGAACCGAGACAAAGCGTACGAAACCTCACGAGTCGAGTCTACACAGCGCATGGTCATCGGTAGTGTAGCAATCGAAGACGAGCAGCCAAAGATGAAAACTTGAGCAGGAATAATGTGGCGCAAATACGTGAAAACATTCACTCTCGTGGTCACGAACAACGCCATCCCCATGATGCCATACGTAAGAGTAATCAGTGCCAGTGCCAAGGCTACAATGAGAAAACCAACACTCTCAACGAGGTCCATCGACGACGTGTACTGAGCCATCGACCCGGCAATCATGGACACGATAGCAAACGGAATGAGAGACACCACCGAGTTGATCATGAGTTGACACACTAGTCCACCGTGGTTAATGAGCAAAAGTAAGTGGTTAATGTCGATGTCGGTCTTGGTCGTTCCAGCTGGTCCCCCACCTAGCGCGAGTTGTCGACGAGTGCGTTCGTGGCTCATGACGACGGCGATACCGAAGAAAATGGCCAACGTGATAACCCCCATAGTGGACGAACTGGAGAACGCTTTCACCATATTCGACGGGATGATTTCGTTGAGAATAGCGAAGAGCTGTTGCGAAACGTTGATGTCCGTGTACGTTGCGGTAGCAGTAGCGAAGTTGGAGCTCGTGTCGTTAAGCGCCAGGATGCTTGTCAGTTCTGTCG